CAGTAGGAAACAATAGTTAATAAACTTTATTATTATTTTTTTTATTCAACAACCTCTAACTCCTACTCCTAAAGGGTAGGGGTTGTTAAATAAATATTTTTTATATTTTAAATTTTTACTGAAAAAAATTATATATATAATTTGGGGCGCCAATCCGATCATGGAGCGGTAATTGAAATGGTATCGTGGTATGTAGAAACCTGAAAGAATTCATTATATGAAATGTGTATTTAAAATTATACAAAGTGTGGAACATGTCTTCAAGATATAAAAACGTAATCTTACATTAGAAATAGTAATAGTGTGGCGCTCAGGTGTTGTAATAATTTTAATATGTATGTTTAAATATGCACCAATTTACTACTATCAGGTTTTAGTGTACCATTGAGAAGCATATTATTAATAGCTATTAAATATTTTAATAACCATACTGATGCATATATAGATATTGTGATAAATATTGAGAAAAGATCAAGAATAAAAATTATAGATTTTCTCCTGATTTATGTCTTAAATTTGAGATTTAAAATCCAATTTGCCTTAGTAAAAATGGTATAAATGTTCAATTAGAAATAATTTTTATTAGACATGAACAGAAATACCATCAAGTCAGATAATTAACAAAAGAGATTTAGATATTTAGACTAGTTAATTGTTTATTTACTCCATTAAAAATTTAATTACATGTTATTTCTAACACGACCGCCAACACTCTACTATCAATAATAGAATAAATTTTTGAGCTAGAAACAGTAATCCACAGTGATTAGTGGAGGATATATTTAAGTATAAGTATTAGGTTAAGATATGTAAATCACACTAACGATTTTCATACACACAACATCGAAAGTGTGTGGAACAATTGCAAATAATCTATTAAAATACACAAAAGAACTGTTAGATTTAAACTTAAAGTAATTTTATCCAAATTATAATGGTAGAATAATTTGGAGTCAAAAAAGATATTAGATGAATTATTGAAATTATTGAGAATTGATTAAATTGCTTCTTTTTATTTATTTATAAAATTTTTCACTTATTTTTAGACTTTATTCATTTATTTTATAAAAAAATGATAAAAAAACTGCCTTAAAAGCTTTTGTAAATAAATTTATATACTATTTAATCTTTATCTATATCTAACATAATTAAGATTCAAAAATAGCAATTAAAAATTTTTATAAAAATAAACATGAAATTAAAACATTTAATATGAGACCTATATCACAATATTAAATAAAAAATTAGCCTATATTATATTTTATTTGTATTATTCAAGTATAATAAATCTTTTGATTTTTAGTAAAATGTTTGTATTGATTTAAATTTTTTTAAAAATTGATTTTGTTGGTAAAAAATATCAAAATGAACATATTTCAGGTAAAAATAAAGTTTAAGTTAATTTGTGTAATATTCGTGATAAATTTCAATTGTTATGTTGAAAATTACTTTAAGAAGAAGATAAAAAAGCTTTTTTTGAATACCTTTAAAAGATCATGATTGTTATTATACGTCTAATATGTTAGAAATTTAAATAAAAGTGCTAAAATTAATAAGAGTGTTTTTAAATTGACAATTTAAAAAAATGAATTTGTTAAACTTTTTTGAAAAGAATATCAAAAAGATCTTATTTGAATAAGTTATTACTAAAAATTCAATTAAAATAGATTTTAATTGAATTTCAAATAAATTATCAACATTGATTACAATAATATAATTTTACTAGTTTAAAGAAGTATATTTATTAATATTCGTGTTTTCTAATATTATTGGATGATATTCTAATTTAAAAATAATCACATATATTTTTTAAATTTATCCGTTTTTAACTATTTTAAATAGATAAAATATATATATAAATTCATTTTAGGTTAACTATTTGTTAACCATATTCTTTTCTGGTTCTTTCTTTACTTTACCAATTAAATAGTTCATTCTCTAATGGTTGTTCCTATGTTTTATCTGTGTCTCCTAATAAATTATTTTGCTTAGTCATCAATTATTTAAAACTAAGAGTTAAAAATAATTTTGTTTTAATATTTTTTCACATAGTCATAAATTCAATTACGTAAACAAATACCTATTTATTAATAAAATTATTATTCTACAGGATTTAAATTAATTAAAAGATTTTTAAAACACTAAAAATGAAAATAATAGTCATAAAAGAACGGAAGCGAGCTAAAGAAAAATTGAAGGTATTAATAGAAA